CCTGGAGGTGGTGGACAAGGTGGCGGTCCTCGCAGCTCGGCGTCTACCGGCGGCTTCAGTGCTATGGGCTGCCAGTACCAGCTCCAGACTGGGCCCCTCCATGGCAGTGTGTGCTGCCGCCCGCACCCGACCGCCCGCTGCTTGCCCCGCCTCGACGACCTCTTTCGTCGCCGCTTCGGCCTGGCCCCAGACCTCCCTGACTGGCCCAGTCTGCTGCGCTACGGTGTGCGTGTTCTTGACTTGGATCAGATTAGTTGTGCCTTGCATTCTCTGTATGCTGAAGCTTCTAGTATGTCCGGATGTTATTACCCTATGTTCTGTAGCTTAGGTGTAGCACCTGTGTGTAGTATCGACACCCCTGCTGCGTCAGGCGTAGGATCGTTTGCTTTGTCTAGCCTAGTCTCCACACTCGCTCCTCTTTCGTCTGCCGCTATTGCTTCACTGTCCTTCACACTTGACTCCGGTGCGTGTGCCTGCTTCTTCCGCAACCACGCCACACTCACGCCGCTTGCCACGCCTGCCGCTGTCGCACTTGCTGACCCCTCTTCTGGTTCTGTCGTTGCACACATGTACACTACCCTTCTCTGTACAGCGGTCACCTCGGGTTCCCTTACAGGCCAGTGGTCCTTACTGGGCACACAGACGCTTCTTGGGTAGATGACGCTAAGACCCTCAGGTCCTCCCAGGGCTACTGCTTTAGCCTTGGTTTGGGCGCCATCTCGTGGAGGTCCATTCGCTCCTCGTCTGTTGCCCAGTCTACCTGTGAGGTTGAGATCTACGGCGTTGCCATGGCGGCGCAGGAGCTCCGCTGGCTGACGTTCTTGGTCATCGACTTAGGTGAGCGGCCTAGCTCTGCCCTGGTTCTGTACGCTAACAATAGGGCCATGATCCTCCTATGTCAGGAGCCTCGACTTGAGGGAAGAGCGAAGTACATCCAGCTGCGGTACTTCCTCCTGCGCGAGCTACAGTAGCGCCGCCAGACCTGCGTAGTACACTTGGCCTCATGTGCCAACAGAGCTGATATCTGTACTAAGGCACTTGCACCTAAAGATCATCAGCGGCACTGCTTGCCGCTCGGTCTAGTTCCTTTAGAGTCTCACTTGCTAGGACCTTGATTGTGTACTCCTCCTTATATATATCTTTCAGACAGGCCTTGTGGCTCCTCTCCCAGTGGTCGGACTAGTAGTGCCGCCCTGGTTTGCTCTTGTCTTTTTTGTACTATTGCTGACTGATCTTTGGACCCATGTCTCAGAGGTTGGACTAATAGTGCCTCCCTGAGTTGTGTGCTTCTTGCTCAGCACTACCCGTTATCTAGCCTAGGGGGTGTGTCAACTTATACATACATTTGCTTGTAGAAGTTATAGGCTAGAATAGGTGTATCTTCTTAGAGAGTACAACCCAACCCTATATCTTGCTTGTTCTCTCTTGTTTCTAGTGATCCTAGTATTCTAACATCACCATGCGAATGATGCGGAAGGGGCCACAAAATCTTGGTCATAATTTATTTGGTAGGGGAATTCCCAAATTCCTGGTGTCGAGTAGGACCAATTGCCCAGGGACAAGTGTTCAGTCTCGGCGTCTTCGGTCAGCTTGCTGCTTAGCCCTCTGCTTGGCTTTTGGGATGGCATCGACGGCTTTTTGCCGAGACTGTCGAAGATTTTTTACCAACTGCTGAGGCCGTGGTGCCGAATTTTCTATCGGTGGCGATAGAGGGGTTGTCGGATCTATCCCGTTATTAAGGAAGAACGGGGAGTGAGTAGTCGTGGCCGATGGGGCATTGTTGTATGCAAACTCGATCAAGGGAAGGGCGTCTTCCCATTGGCTCGGGTCTATACATGTCGTGCGAATCAGCTGCTCCATCGTCTGGTTGGTGCGCTCAGTCTGACCGTCCGATTGCGGGTGGTACGTTGTGGACAGATGTAGACGTGCGCTGTACTACTACCAGGTTTTTGTCCATAAGTTGGATGTAAACCGTAGGTCACGGTCGCTGATGATTGCCGATGGGATGCCATGTAGCCGCATGATGTTCGTGAGGAACAGTTTTGTTGTCTACTCGGCAGTAATTGTCATTTTGCAGGCGGTGAAATGACCCATTTTGGTCAACCGGTCAACGACGACGAGGATCTCGCCGTTACCGCTTGGACCAGCTTGCAGGAGAGTAACAGAGTCCATCGTCACTTGTTGCTAGGGTCTGCTGGGTGGCTTGAGCGGCCGCAACAGTCCAGCAGATTGAAGTCGGGAAGACTTACATGCGTTGACACGTGGTGTTGGAGGTGACGTACTGTTGCACGTCTGTCGGTAGGTTGGACCAGTAATAATTACGGTTCAATATTTTTTGCGGTTTCATCGATGCCCTAATAACCCGATAAATTTGAGTCATGTGCCTCCTGGATCAATAATTCCCATAGTGTACGGTAGGCGGGAACCCATATACGATTGGGATTTTAGATAATAGGGCCCTTGCTTGACTGTCAATTGGGGATGACTGTTAGTGGTGAATAATGGGTCAGTACTGTATCCGTGGGTGAATAGGCCAGTTAGCAATGGATTAGCTTGGATAATTAGGATTGCGGCGGTGTGGAGGGGCGGGTCAGTGCGTCGGCGATGTTGCTAACCCCTCTTTTGTGCGTGACTCTGTAGTGGAAATTGGACTCGAGGTAGTCGAGCCAGCGAATCTGTCGGGGTTTCAATGTCCGGTTGGGCGCGGATGAGCTGTAGCGACTTGTGATCTATTCAGACTGTTACGTCAGCGCCCGTCAGGTAGCAGGGGACGAGTTTGAAAACGTGAATCATGGCGAGCATGCTCGGGTTGCATTCTCACAGCCAATCGCGTCCCAGCAGCATGTCGCACCCATCCAAAGTCGTCGCCAGCATCTTCGTCGTGAAACTGGAATTTTCGACACAGATGACTCGCACGTGAGGCACGCGCTCCCCGAATCGCCAATGGGGTGCTGCAAACCAACCTCGTGTCAATTTTAAGCATGCAGCGCTCCAGCTGCAATCACAATTTTTTCGCTTTTGTCACATCCATCATACTGTGGCTTTCTCCGCCATCAACAAATATTATGATGCAGGTGTCGGCGATTCTTCTTTCAACCAGCACAGGGCGATCAACCGGTTCACCCCCCCTATTCAATCAGGAATGGTCGATAGCCCAAATCAGCACTATAACCTGGTGGGGGTGTTGACGTTTGGGCGACGCATTCATGTCAGTAGGTGGCCCATAGGCTACTAACGATCTCCATTTCCCGATTGCTTCCCGTCGTTAGCTAAGTTCTTCTTCAGCTGCGGGCAGTCCTTCACCATGTGGCCCGGCTGAATGTAGTGGAAACAGCATCCGGAAGAAACCCGGGCTGCAAACATGTCCACGCCGTTGATTGATGCGTGTTGGGGCTGGCGTCGAAAGCGTTTTCCCTCCCGGAAACCCGCCCTGCGAGTCCACGCTTTGCGTCCAGCGCATCCGCGATTTAGACAATCTCGTTAAATGTCGCCGGGGCTCGCAGGACGATCTCTTGCCGAATCTCTGGCTTAAGATCACCCACGTAGCGATCGATTGGTCGTCTTCGCTAAGCTCTCCGATTTGATCGCATAGCGTCAAGAACGAAGCCGTGTATTCTTGGACAGAGCCCAAATGTCTCCACATCCGAAGCCTTGTGCGAGCGTTTTCGTGCATGGACATGTGCTAGAATCGGCTATTCAATGCTTCGCTCCACGCTTTCCACGCACGGATCGTGGCCGACCCAAAGCTCGGTTCTGCCTGAGCCGTTGATAAACTGTGCTCCGCATCTACCACCCGTTGATTCCCTGCCGGGGCTCCTCCCTCGTCTAGATGCATGCGCCACCAGTCGAGTGCCAGTCCCCTTAGCAACGACACAGCCAAGTTGACACGTGACGCATTAATACTTGTTGCAGTGACGAAGATTTCCATGGCGAACAGCCAACCGCTCACTATAGTCGTTCTGTCGGTCGGGTTGAATGGCGGTGGCATCGGAGGTTTGATTTTAATGGTCGCTCGCGACTCCCTGTGGACTTCTTCAACTACTTCAGGTGTCGCCGACTCCCTCGCTTTGCTCGCAGCATCTTCGTCTCGGGTAACAGGCCGACCCTGACGCGTTTCACCCTGCGCCTGGCGAAGCGACGAGTTTTCGTTGCGCAGCGTCTGCACTTCGCTTCCCAACGTCTCGAACTTATCGGCGAGTTGTTGAAGCTGGGCCTGCAGTGTCGTCATTGTAGCCGTCCTAGCTTGCAACTCGTCAAACTCCTCCTGAGTCACGTTCCTAACACTACGACGGACAGAGGTTTCCGGCGTAGTAGGCATGCTGGAAATTTTACCTGACAGTGCACCCGCTTCTAGTTGGAGGAGCTTTAACGAGCTCACCTACCAAGCGCAGGCCAACCCTCTATTCTGTCGGGTCCTCTCCCGATATAAACAGACTACTCTACGGAAGAGTAAGCGGGCATGAATGGGGCTCTGATACTAGCTATTATGAATTAATCAGAGTAATAACAGGTAGTGTAATAAAGGAGTCGTGATTCAAGAGTGTAGATACAAATGAAGGCCTAAGCATTTATAGGCACGAACAGGTCTAGCCGAGAACCACGCGAACAGGTTGGGGCGGTCCGTTTGGCGAAAGCTACGGAAGCGGCGCGCGTCGAGGTTTGGGTTCGCTAAGTGGTTCGGGACCGAAGAAGTTGGCCGAGCCTGGACTTCCGAGATCGAGGGCGTACGCGCTGTAGTCGAGCCCAGTAAAGAAAAGGGAATTTCCTTACACAGATACCCTGCGAGAGGTGTGTGCTCGCTGTATTGTCAGCATTCCTGAAACCTGTCGGACTTCCTGATTGGTCAAAAGCAAACCAATCTTCGCAGCCGTCCCATCCAGCCCAATCCGCACTCCGCCGCAATCTCCGCCAGCGCGGACGAGGCGACAGCTTTCCCGCCCACCTCCTCTCTCTGCTCCATCGAGATTATCGTTTTCATGATTTCCGTACACACATCACAGTTTCTTTCTCAGTAGTGACTGACTGATCGTGCAGTGCGAGGGGACTTCACATCACAGAGCCGTTACGTTAGTTCCCTTGCAAGGCAAGCAGCCTGTCCGGATCAAGAGAGCCGAAGCTGCTCCTGTCCGCGCGATTTCAGTCTGAGAGACGGCGAGGCGACTCTGTTTCGACAACCGCTTCCTTCGGACCGCTGACAGCCAGCTGTTCGTCGCGGCATTCCTGACCGCCAGCGTTTCACCGCTGGAAAGTAACCAGTTGCAGGAGTTGAAACCCGAGCGTTGAAATCCGAGCGTTCCTGTGATTCTCCCTTAGCGCGCTCTTAGCTGGACTCCGTGCGCTTCCTTGTGCTGGACGTTCCTTCCTGACTTTCTCTCATTGCTCCTCGGCGCTGCTGAGCCTCCTAGTGCATCTGCCCCTGCACTTCACTTTCTTCCGCTATGGCTCTCGCGGTGTCGTCATCAGTGACCCGCGCGGTCGCTCTTTCAGGTCAGAGTTCCATCCGTTCGTCATGCCATTTCGCATGAAGAGATTCGCACGAATCGCGAGTCGCGAAGCCAATTGCGACGGCAATCGCGAAGCTAATCGCGAAGCCTATTGCATTTTAAGGAGTTTGCACTCATGCCTATCCCGCATGCCCTAGTGACCAGTCTGTAAATGAACAACCCATTCAACCTACACGCTTAATCACTTGACTGATCCAGAGGCTCAATCGCTCAGAACCGTCCCTCCCCCCACCTCCGTCATTTCTCCAACACCCCAACCTCCCGCTCCCCCCACCCCCCTCATTTCTCCAACAAATCTACCCTCCCCCGCCCCCCCCCCCCCCCACCCCGCCTTTCCCCAATCGTCAGAGCCTTCTTCTCTGTTCTTGGGATCATCGCGGTCGATCCGATCCACCCATTCACATGTGCCTTCGCTCATCCGTGGATGTGACATTCGTCACCATAAATTGCTACCAGCCACTCCCTTCAGACCACCATCAGCAGCCACTGCTTCCCTGTCCGCACCATCCCCCCGCCGCTCCGAGCCTCTTGCTAAACGCCATGCGTCCGCGAGACCAGCTCGCTTGGCTTCCGCTGCTGCAAAGGCTGCTGCTTCGGCTGTTGCCGAGCCTGCACAGGAGCTTCGGGGTGCAGGGCCCGTTGTGGTGGTGGATAATTATGACAGCTTCACGTACAACCTCTGCCAGGTAACACCTTAAGTGATAACCTTAGCCAGGTAAAACCTTCACTGACGAGGTAACACCTTCACTGACAACCTTTGCCAGGTAACACCTTCACTGACAGCCTTTGTCAGGTAACACCTTCACTGACAGCCAGGTAACACCTTCACTGACAGCCTTTGCCAGGTATCACCTTCACTGACAGCCTTTGCCAGGTATCACCTTCATTGACAGCCTTTGCCAGATAACACCTCCAAGCCAGCCTCTGCCAGGTAAACATTTTCACTGATGGCCAGGTTGCCGAGGTACCAGGTAACGCCTTCACTGCTAGCCAGGTTGCCAAGGTACCAGGTAACGCCTTCACTGCTAGCCAGGTTGCCAAGGTACCAGGTAACGCCTTCACTGCCTGGGATGGGATGCGAGCATGTGGTGTCAAAATTTTAGGCGCCTCACATCTCGCTTTTTGAGGCGCCTCAAAAATCACATCTCGCTTCAAATGCCTGTTTTCTGTTGCCTCTCCTCCTCCCCTGCTGGTTGCCCGTGGCGTGGTGTGAACAGTATCTGGGTGACCTGGGATGCGAGCATGTAGTGTACCGCAATGACGACATCACCATAGAAGACCTGCAGAAGTGAGCTTAAACCTGCCCCAAACGGACTATCCCAAGTGAGCTTAAACCTGACCCAATTTGATTATCCATTTATCGCATTGCATATTATCCCTATTTCCCTCCAGCTTTTTGTTGTGCTCCGAAGGGCTTGAAACACACTGCTTTACATTGCGTTGCTTTGTTTGCCTGGTGGACTCGTGTACCTGGTTGCTGCTCTATGAACCTGTGTGACTTATCTCTTCGCTATCTCTTGGCGCAACCGTGTGTGTGTTTGCATGTCTATGTGCACCCATCATCCCTGCTCCCCCATCCCCGTGCGCAAACCCCCCATCCTACCCGGACATCAGAATGGACCCCAGAGGCGTCCTCATCTCTCCAGGCCCGGGTAGGTTTCTCGAGCTTACCACCCGAGCCTGAGTTAACCAAGCCGAGACTACCCGAGCCTGGGTTTTCCTGAGTCTATACTACACAGCCTGGTTTACCCGCGCCTAGCCTAGACTACCCTACCCCAGCTTGGGTTACCCGGTCTTGGGTTACCACCAGAAGCGTGAATCTCCTACACCTCTCCCTGCTGCTGCTAGACCTTGTGTATTCGCCGCTGTGCATCTGATGCTCCCTTTGTTTCTGTGTGGCAGCTGGATTCATCCACAGCTCTGCCTTTCACTCAACTGGTTCCTTTCCAGGCACACCTTTTGAGTCGACTCAAAAGTCACCTTTCCAGGCACACCTTTTGAGTCGACTCAAAAGTCACCTTTCCAGGCACACCTGACAACTCCTCGGGCATATCTCTGGAGGTGGTGCGGCTGCTGGGGGGTTGACTGTTGTGCTTTGCTCATGTAATTGTCACCCCACCACCACACCCACCCCCCTGCTTCACCCACCCACCAACCAGGCACGCCTGATGACTCGGGCATCTCGCTGGACGTGGTGCGGCGGCTGGGGCCGACTGTGCCTCTCTTTGGCGTGTGCATGGGGCTGCAGTGTATGGGGCAGGCATACGGGGGTGAGTGCACTCTATCTTGTAATCTGCGAGACACATGTATGTGGGGCCGACTGTGCCTCTCTTTGGCGTGTGCATGGGGCTGCAGTGTATGGGGCAGGCCTACGGGGGTGAGTGCACTCTATCTTGTAATCTGCGAGACACATGTATGTGGGGCCGACTGTGCCTCTCTTTGGCGTGTGCATGGGGCTGCAGTGTATGGGGCAGGCCTACGGGGGTGAGTGCACTCTATCTTGTAATCTGCGAGACACATGTATGTGGGACCGACTGTGCCTCTCTTTGGCGTGTGCATGGGGCTGCAGTGTATGGGGCAGGCCTACGGGGGTGAGTGCACTCTATCTTGTAATCTGCGAGACACATGTATGTGGGACCGACTGTGCCTCTCTTTGGCGTGTGCATGGGGCTGCAGTGTATGGGGCAGGCGTATGGGGGTGAGTGAATGGGTTTGAACCAACAAATTGAGAGCCTGAACCTTAAGATCCGACCTTTCTACCCAACAGTCTGAATGGTGAATTCCAAAGCGTGAATGCTGACGCATGACTGCAAACCTCACCCCTACTCCTGAACCCTGGACTGGGATCCCTTGGCAGGGCGCATAGTGCGGGCGCCAGGGGGAGTGATGCATGGGAAGACGTCTCCTGTGCTGCACACGCAGCAAGACAGCGACACCGGGCTGCTCGCAGGCCTGCCCAGGTGCGGTGTTATTGGTGGCAGGAGGCTTGAGGGGTGAGAGTTGAGACAATTGATGACAGGACCGCCCGGGCGAGCATGAATAAGAGGGACTGAGTAGACAGTGTGGGCGCCAGGGGGGAGATGTTTGGGAAGACAGGTGCTGCTGGCAGGCAGGACTGCACACGCAGGCAGACAGCGACACCGGGCTGCTGGCAGGCCTGCCCAGGTGCGGTGAGCTGTGCCTCTGTGAGCTGATTAAAGCCCGAGTCCCACAATGCAGGGGCCTGCAAGTCTCAGAGGTTGGAGGTAGGTAGGTGAGTGCTTTGCAATTTGTTATTGGAGGGTGCTTTTTCCTGCACCAATCAAAACAAGCCCAACTCTCAACTACCACCGAGCAAGTGTCCGAGACTTGCTTGGGCTTGCGACTTGGGACTGGGGCTTTAAAACTCAGAATATCCATGGATGGCTGTCCTTGGAGCTGGGATGGGGGCCATGCTCACGCTCACTGCTGCACACGCAAGTTTAACAACATCATACAAGTTTGTGGTCTGGCACACACACGCTCACTGCTGCACAGTGAAACAACCAGCGAGTGCCATGCCATGTCCATTGCCCCTGCTGGTGGAGGCACAAACTTGGCACGTCCTACCCCTCCTCCGTAGGTGATTTTTGAGTCGACTCAAAAATCAACTTGGCACGTCCTACCCCTCCTCCGTGCTTGTGTTCCCCTCCCCGTCTTCATTTCCATTCCTACCTCTCCCTTTCCTCCACCAGCCCCTTCACTGCCTGCCGCTGCCACAGCCTGGTGACAGAGAAGGAGTCATTCCCCGAGGACGAGCTAGAGGTGACTGACTGTTGGGACGATGCCACGTCCTTCAGCCTGTCTCAGCCACTCCTGAATTGCTCCCCCCTCCCCGTCCGCTCTCCCTTCCCCTTTTCCTCACCAGCCCAATCACGGCCTGCCGCTGCAACAGCCTGGTGATTGAGGAGACATTCCCCGAGGACGAGCTGGAGGTGACTGCTTGCTCCCTCGCCAACCCTCAACCCCTTCACTACCCTCTTCCTCTTGCCCATGTATCAGCCCCTTCACGGCCTGCCGCTACCACAGCCTGGTGATTGATCAGGAGGCATTCCCCGAGGATGAGCTGGAGGTGACCGCTTGGGCAGAGGCACATCCCTGTCCATTCTCCCCCCCACCCCACAACCTCTTTCCCCCACTGACAGTCCCTTCACGGCCTGCCGCTACCACAGCCTGGTGATTGAGAAGGAGACATTCCCCGAGGGCGAGCTGGAGGTGACTGCTTGGACGGAGGATGGGCTGGTGATGGCGGTGCGGCACAAGAAGTACACCCACGTTGAGGTGAGTACACTTATATTGAAGATTGCTGATGTATAAGTAGTTATACTTTGTTGAGCTGAGGTGGGTTGGTCATGGCTGAGCGACACAACTCTTGTTGAAGGGAGTGAGCTTATACAGATAAATCATAGCTTTTAAAGATATTACACCTAGTGCATATGGGTGCATATATCAACTTGGAAAGTTATTGTAGTCATAACTTTCATCCCTCTATTTCCCCCATCCTTCTGACCTTGTCCTGTCCCTTGTGGCCCGACCCCCCCTTCTGGTCCTGTCTTCCTCCACCAGAGGAGCTATTTTCGAGGCGTGCTTTTATTAGGTGCCCCACCAGTTTTGAGGCGCCTCAAAACTAGACCCCCACCAGGGTCCCTTGTATCCTTTCTGTATCAATTGCTTTTAAAAATAGACGTCTGTCCGTGCTTTCATCCACCAGGTGCGCCACTCCAAGTCCATCATCACAACTCTTCCCCATCCCTCCTACTTCGTTCCCACATGATTTTCTTCCCTCCTCTCCCCCCTCTCCCTCCTCTCCCCCCTCTCCCTCCTCTCCCCCCTCTCCCTCCTCTCCCCCCTCTCCCTCCTCTCCCCCCTCTCCCTCCTCTCCCCCCTCTCCCTCCTCTCCCTCCTCTCCCCCCTCTCCCCCCTCTCCCCCCTCTCCCCCCTCTCCCCCCTCTCCCCCCTCTCCCCCCTCTCCCCCCTCTCCCCCCTCTCCCCCCTCTCCCCCCTCTCCCCCCTCTCCCCCCTTTCCCCCCTCTCCCCTCACTTTCCTCTCGCCTCACTTGCCTCACCAGGGAGTGCAGTTCCACCCAGAGAGCATCATCACGTCCTTGTTCCTTGTCGCCTTCTCCCTCGTGCCCATTCCCTCATCTCTCCCCCTCTCTCCCTCTCTCCCTCCTCCCCCCACCAGGGAGTGCAGTTCCACCCGGAGAGCATCATCACAAGCAATGGCAAGGCCATAGTGGCCAATTTCCTCAAGACCATGGACCGCTACTGGAGCCAGCAGTAGAGTATCGCGAGTGGGGGCAGTGTGGTGCTACTGGGGTGTTTTTTGAGCCGTCTCAAAGTCAAACAGCAAGGCCATAGTGGCTAACTTCCTCAAGACCATGGACCGCCACTGGGGGAACTATGGCACGAGAAGCAGATGACATGGGGCCGTAGGCAGGCTTTGCCATTGCCACTTTCCTTTGGGATGCCCTAGGGACTGCCCTTAGGGATTCCCTAAGGAATGCCCTTAGCTGCTCACAATATGATTGGGTTTTATCGGATGCACATGGGCTAAACAGCCCACATCGCACTCTCGGTGAACTTGTGCAGTAATTGCCGGCCATTGTGTGCTTTTTAAGGCGCTTAGAAAATCACGCGCTGGGCGGTCCATCATACGGACAAGGGTGGAAGCAGAATAGACGTACCATACGAAGGAATTACCTCAGCATCTCACGAATCACTAACGAAGTTGTGAGTGAAACATGAGAATCCTGCTCGAGGTCTTTGCTTCACCCTCGTTTGCCACCGTTCACCTTGTAGGCTAGTCTTTAGGCTGCAGAGTGGGAACCGTTCACAACTGGAACTACATCATATAGAAATGTACATAAGTACGATTTTTGAGGCACCTCAAACATCATTTACAACTGGAACTATATCATATAGAAATGTACTGTACAAGTACCGAATGTTACACGGATCTGCTGCCAAATTCTTGGTCGAAGGCAAGATATCTATCAGAGTGCACCCTACCCAGTGCCTTGGTCACTATGAGGGCCAGCTGCATGTCCTCATGGGTGATCGGCCCAAGCACATCCTGCTCTTGCTCCGCCGTTGCTCCCCCGTCTCGCTCCCTCTCCGTCTCCCTCCCCTCCTCCCTTGTCCTCTCCCCGAGTCTGTTTGTGCCATCCTCCCCCTCCTCCTCCTCCCCCTTCTTCCCATGCTGCCCATGCTCCCCCCTCTCCGCCCTCCCCCTCTTCTCCCGCCCTTCCAGCTCCACCATGAGTCGTCTGAGCGGCCTCATGGCAGCTTCTTTGCACAGTAGGCGGATGTCCGACCCCGAATACCCCTCCGTTGCTGCAACCATCTCCTCCAACCTTATCTCCTCCACCCACTCCCTCTCCACCTCCTGCTTCGTCTGCCCCTCTTTCCCCTCCCTCCCTCCCTTTTCTCCTGTCTCCTCGTCACCCGCACTAATCTCCTCCCCAATCTCGCTCGAGCCCCTCACTCGACCGTTAGCCATCACCGTCCATTCCACTCCGTTAATCTGCCCTCTCGCAACCTTCCCGTCACACCATCTCGCACTCGTATCCTCCTTCCTCACTCCCGAACTCTTGCTCCGCCCTGCCATCCTCACTCCACTCACGTTCATTGCGGGATTGGTGCCGACGCCCTCCCCCTGATAGGCCCTGCACTGCTGGTCTGCTTGCAGTCTGCCAGCACCAGGAGCTTCCCTGTGGGGTCGGGGCAGCAGCGCAGAGAACATGGCTCGTCGAGCTTCCGGGTCAGGTAGAGGCACCAGAATCTAGCGTGGGGGGGAGGGGAGGAAAGGGAGAGAGAGCAGGTAGGTTGAAAGCAAATTCGAGGCCTGTGCCCGTGCCCGTGCCCGTGCCCGTGCCCGTGCGTGTGCCTGTGCCTGTGCCTGTGCCTGTGCCTGTGACATGCTCTGTGCGAGGTATAGGGCGCGAGGCAGCAGCCTGCAGGGCAGAGAGCATGGCATATTGAGCCACGGATTGGGGGGAAGGTGGACGGGGGATTGGTGGCAGCGATTCTGAGGATAGCAATGCAGCACCATGCAACGGGATGCCACGCCATGCCTGCCATGCCATGCCTGCCATGCCATGCCATGCCATGCCTGCCATGCCATGCCTGCCATGCCATGCTCACAAGTCACTTCACTCATCCTGGTCAGTGTCATGCTCAGCCAGCATAGCACTGTCCACCTCCCACGGTAGGTTGGTGGCAGCAATAAGAATAAGGGCTACCCAGCCATGTCAAGCCATGTCAAGCCATGTCAAGCCATGTCAAGCCATGTCAAGCCATGTCAAGCCATGTCAAGCCATGTCAAGCCATGTCAAGCCATGCCAAGCCATGTCAAGCCATGTCAAGCCATGTCAAGCCATGCAACGCGATGCCACGCCATGCCATGCTCACAAGTCAGATGACTCACCCTCTTTTCCAGGCGTCGCAGCATGGCACTGTCCAGCTCCCATGGCATGTTGGTGGCAGCCAGCACAAACACAAGGTCCGATGTGCGACTCAGGCCATCCATCTGCAGGGATGCCAAGGGTTTCAAAGTGGTGCTGACCGGTGAAGGCAACGTTTGGGGGAATACGCAGTGCAGCGAGCACAAACACAAGGCCAGAGACAATCCATATGCAGGTACAACATGGTCGAGAGCGGTGCTGGCAGGTGAGCGACATTGCAGCGAGCACAATTACAAGGCTGGAAGAACGGCTCAGACCACCCATCCGGAGGGGTGCGATGGAATTCCGAGAGGTGCTGAGCAGTGAGAGGGCACTGGTGGGCACAAGCACAAGGTTGGGCGTGCAGCTTAAGCCGTCCATCTGGAGGGGTGTGAGGGGTTGAAAGCGGTGCTGAGCAGTGAGCGAGCAATGGTGGGCGTGCATGCAGCTTCAGCTGTCCATTTGGAGGGACGTGAGGGGTTGAACCACCCCACCCCACCCCACCCCACCGCACCTCACCCCTCTCTCGTCCCCACCTGGATCAGCAGCTCCGTCTTGAGCCGCCTGCTCGCCTCATGCTCCCCCGTGCCGCCCCCTCTGTGGCTGATGATGGCGTCGATCTCGTCCATGAAGATGGTCGACGGCGCTAGTGCCCTTGCCAGATCAAACAGCATGCGCACTAGCTTCTCAGAGTCGCCTGCACGAGTGGAGAGGGGGGAGTGGGTGCAGGGCAGGGCAGCGAGGTCGGGGTGTGTTGCCCCTCGGTGGCTGATGATGGCGTTGATCCCATCCATGAAGATGGTGGAGGGGGCTAGAGCCCGAGCGAGCTCAAACAGCATGCGCACTAGCTTCTCTGAGTCACCTGTGCGGGAAGGTTGACAGGGTTAGTGACAGGGCAAGAGGTGAGGGGGCGGGGGGGGGGTCTTGACCCCTCTGTGGCTGATGATGGCGTCGATCTCGTCCATGAAGATGGTCGACAGCGCTAGTGCCCTTGCCAGATCAAACAGCATGCGCACTAGCTTCTCAGAGTCGCCTGCACGAGTGGAGCAGGGGGAGTGGGTGCAGGGCAGGGAAGAGAGGTCGGGGTGTGTTTGCCCCTCGGTGGCTGATGATGGCGTCGATCTCATCCATGAATATCTTTTAAGTTGCAAGAGCACAGGCCGGATTGAAAAGCAGCCGGATTGAAAAGCAGCCGGATTGAAAAGCAGCCGGATTGAAAAGCAGCTGGATTGAAAAGCATTCAGTTATGATGTGGTTCAGTTACGATGTGGTTCAGTTACGATGTGGTTCAGTTACGATGTGGTTCAGTTACGATGTGGTTCAGTTACGATGTGGTTCAGTTACGATGTGGTTCAGTTACGATGTGGTTCAGTTACGATGTGGTTCAGTTACGATGTGGTTGAGTTACGATGTGGTTCAGTTACGATGTGGTTCAGTTATGATGTGGTTCAGTTATGATGTGGTTCAGTTATAATGTGGTTCAGTTATGATGTGGTTCAGTTACGATGTGGTTCAGTTACGATGTGGTTCAGTTACGATGTGGTTCAGTTACGATGTGGTTCAGTTACGATGTGGTTCAGTTACGATGTGGTTCAGTTACGATGTGGTTCAGTTACGACGTGGTTCAGTTACGATGTGGTTCAGTTACGATGTGGTTCAGTTACGATGTGGTTCAGTTATGATGTGGTTCAGTTATGATGTGGTTCAGTCGACTAAAAAATCGACTCATTACGCATGCAGACACAGGTTTTTAGCCGATAGAAACATGGCGAGAAGGACGGAGGCATGCATGAGAGAGAGTGCGGGTATGGGTTATGATGTGGGCAAGAGGCGGAGCACTGACCGCCTTGCTGGCGATGGTGGATGCAGAGACGTTGAAGAATGTGAGAGAGGGAGGAGTGAGAGAAAGAGTGAGAAAAGGGCAACGAGAGAAGAGGAGCAGAAGTGAACTGACCGCGCCACTTGCTGGCGATGGTGGATGCAGAGACCTTGAAGAAGGTGAGAGAGGGAGCGGTGAGAAAAGGATGGCAATGAGAGAACAACAGGGGTGAGGCTCACCGCGCCACTTGCTGACGATGGTGGATGCAGAGACGTTGAAGAAGGTGGTGCTGCACTCCGTGGCCACTGCCTTAGCCAGCATGGTCTGACGGAGGAGAGGAGAGGAGGAGTGCAGAGGAGATGAGACAAGATGATCGAGTCATGCACAAGTGGAACAGTTATATGTCAAGGTGAATACAGCTACGTGGCAAGCGGATGAGGTGAGTCTGACAAGGGGCGAAGGGGAGAACGCCTACAGTAGCAAGACACAAGAGAAAAGTGGGGGTGACAGAGAGGAGAGTGAGCCACGGGGGGACAGAGACACCAGACCAGAGCAATACCAAGGACACAAGAATGGGGGAAACGGAACCAGAACTAAGAGATGACAGCTCCACCTTGCCAGTTCCCGGAGGGCCAAACAGCAGAATGCCCTTCCAGGGGGCGAGAAGCCCCGTGAAGTACCTGGTGCAGTGCGAGAGAGAGGGGGAGGGCGGACGGGCGGTAACGGGCAGAAAAGATGAGTCTGGGACTTGAGGCGCCTCAAAACGGGCAGAAAAGATGAGTCTGGGACTTGAGGCGCCTCAAAACGGGCAGAAAAGATGAGTCTGGGACTTGAGGCGCCTCAAAACGGGCAGAAAAGATGAGTCTGGGACTTGAGGCGCCTCAAAACGGTACTTGAGGAGGACATGGAAGTAGAAACTGCAGAAGACGTCCGCCTCTCCCTCCCTTGGAAATAGAAACCGCGTGAAAGCAGCCTGCCCTTGAGGCGCCTCGACGGCGGCTGACAACGTTGAGGCGGAGGGAGGGAGGGAGACAAGCGGGAGAAAGGGAGGGAGGGAGGCAAGCAGGAGAGAGGGAGCGAGGGACAACGGCGGCTGACAGCGAGTGGAGGAGGCCACGAGGGGGGAAGAATGGAGTGGCAAGCGGGAGGAGGGGAGGGAGCGAGGGACGGAGGGAGTGAGAGGCAGGAAGGAGAGCGGGGAAAGAAGATGGAGGACACCAACTGCGTGATAGGAGTCTAGTTTTGAGGCGCCTCAAAACTGAGAGGCAGGAAGGAGAGCAGGAAGGAGAGCAGGAAGGAGAGCAGGAAGGAGAGCAGGAAGGAGAGCAGGAAGGAGAGCAGGAAGGAGAGCAGGAAGGAGAGCAGGAAGGAGAGCAGGAAGGAGAGCAGGAAGGAGAGCAGGAAGGAGAGCAGGAAGGAGAGCAGGAAGGAGAGCAGGAAGGAGAGCAGGAAGGAGAGCAGGAAGGAGAGCAGGAAGGAGAGCAGGAAGGAGAGCAGGAAGGAGAGCAGGAAGGAGAGCAGGAAGGAGAGCAGGAAGGAGAGCAGGAAGGAGAGCAGGAAGGAGAGCAGGAAGGAGAGCAGGAAGGAGAGCAGGAAGGAGAGCAGGAAGGAGAGCAGGAAGGAGAGCAGGAAGGAGAGCAGGAAGGAGAGCAGGAAGGAGAGCAGGAAGGAGAGCAGGAAGGAGAGCAGGAAGGAGAGCAGGAAGGAGAGCAGGAAGGAGAGCAGGAAGGAGAGCAGGAAGGAGAGCAGGAAGGAGAGCAGGAAGGAGAGCAGGAAGGAGAGCAGGAAGGAGAGCAGGAAGGAGAGCAGGAAGGAGAGCAGGAAGGAGAGCAGGAAGGAGAGCAGGAAGGAGAGCAGGAAGGAGAGCAGGAAGGAGAGCAGGAAGGAGAGCAGGAGGAGAGCAGGAAGGAGAGCAGGAAGGAGAGCAGGAAGGAGAGCAGGAAGGAGAGCAGGAAGGAGAGCAGGAAGGAGAGCAGGAAGGAGAGCAGGAAGGAGAGCAGGAAGGAGAGCAGGAAGGAGAGCAGGAAGGAGAGCAGGAAGGAGAGCAGGAAGGAGAGCAGGAAGGAGAGCAGGAAGGAGAGCAGGAAGGAGAGCAGGAAGGAGAGCAGGAAGGAGAGCAGGAAGGAGAGCAGGAAGGAGAGCAGGAAGGAGAGCAGGAAGGAGAGCAGGAAGGAGAGCAGGAAGGAGAGCAGGAAGGAGAGCAGGAAGGAGAGCAGGAAGGAGAGCAGGAAGGAGAGCAGGAAGGAGAGCAGGAAGGAGAGCAGGAAGGAGAGCAGGAAGGAGAGCAGGAAGGAGAGCAGGAAGGAGAGCAGGAAGGAGAGCAGGAAGGAGAGCAGGAAGGAGAGCAGGAAGGAGAGCAGGAAGGAGAGCAGGAAGGAGAGCAGGGCAGGAAGGAGAGCAGGAAGGAGAGCAGGAAGGAGAGCAGGAAGGAGAGCAGGAAGGAGAGCAGGAAGGAGAGCAGGAAGGAGAGCAGGAAGGAGAGCAGGAAGGAGAGCAGGAAGGAGAGCAGGAAGGAGAGCAGGAAGGAGAGCAGGAAGGAGAGCAGGAAGGAGAGCAGGAAGGAGAGCTGGAAGGAGAGCAGGAAGGAGAGCAGGAAGGAGAGCAGGAAGGAGAGCAGGAAGGAGAGCAGGAAGGAGAGCAGGAAGGAGAGCAGGAAGGAGAGCAGGAAGGAGAGCAGGTAGGAGAGCAGGAAGGAGAGCAGGTAGGAGAGCAGGAAGGAGAGCGGGGTACGAAGATGGAGGACACCAAGACAGCGCACAGGCACAGATTCAACGCAAGCCACTCACTGCCGGTACTTGATGGGCATCACCACGGCCTCCTTCACCAGCTGCTTCGCCGACTCCAACCCCTTGACTCTGTCCCACGTCACCTCGAGAGAGGAGTCAATTCAACTCACAGGCGTGACAACACGCACGGAAGCCACTCACTGCGGGCACTTGATGGGCATCACGATAGCCTCCTTCCGCAGCTGCATCGCGCCTTCCAGCCCCTTGACGCTGTCCCACGCCACCTCGAGAGAATTGAAAGGGGTCAACTCACCTCACAGGCACGAATAATATGCAATAAGGCAGCTCACAGGCTCGGAGACACCTGGACTCACTGCGGGTACTTGATGGGCATCACGACAGCTTCTTTCGGCAGCTGCTTTGCGCCTTCCAGCCCCTAGATGCTGTCCCACGTCACCTTGAAAGGGCGTATATACTCAATCCACGAGAAAATAATGACAAGGCTATAGCTGCACTCACTGTGGGTACTTGATGGGCATCACGACAGCCTCCTTGAGCAGCTGCTTGGCGCCTTCCAGCCCCTTGACGCTGTCCCACGTCACCTCGGGATTGCCGTGGATGATGTCCCGCCCGATGGCCTCAGCCAGCTCCCTCAGCTCCACCGTGGGGTACATGGGCAGGGGCTTTCTCGGGCAGGGCTCTACTGTGGCGGGTGGGCGGGGTTGCCATGGCGGAGACTGGAGGGGGGGGGGAAGAGGCACGCAGAGAATTGGGAGGGGGCAAGGCACCAATGGTGTCCCGCCCCATGGCCTCCGTAGCTCCCTCAGCTCCACCGTGGGGGACGTGGGCAGGGGCTTGCGCAGACGGGGCTCTACCGGGGCATGTGAAGAGTGGGGAAGGGGAGCGTGTGTAATGAGTCGGTTGAAAGGCACCTGAAGAGAGGGGAAGGGGAGCGTGTGTAATGAGTCGATTGAAAGTCACCTGAAGAGTGGGGAAGGGGAACGCCGCCCGCGAATGGAGTCCCCCCGACGGCCTGTGCTAGCTCCCTCGGCTCCACTGTGGGGGACGTGGGGAGTGGGGAGCCCCTCTCTGCGCGAGCTGGCACCGTGTGGCGTACATGGGGAGGGGAGGGGCTTCCTGGGGAGGGGTCTGCTGCGCCCTGGGGGTATCATCCGCAGGAGTGGCGCCTGCTGGTGTTGCTGCTGGGGGTTTGGATGCGACACATGAATAAGGCATCGCTACAGGAGCTGCACGGACCTGCATCCGAACCGTTGGTTGTTGGCTGGAGCCTTCAATGCCGTCGGATGTGGGCAAGACGTTGATCACAGTGGATGCTGACGTGGCACCCGACGGTTCTCGGCCAGACGTGCTGCAGCCACGTAGGCGTTGTTCATATCGCTCCTCAAAATCCTGCGAAAGATGGACGCGATCGGGGTGACGGTGAATGGATGGTTCACGGTGTGGACTGATTAATTCGGGGTTATCACCATGTTGATTCTTGCTCCAGGCACATAGAGGAGGAATAATAGTCGCCCGGATATGAGTAATTAAATCCGCGAGAGCGAGACATAGGAAGTGCGGAAGCAGAGGATACGAGGAGGCGCAACAGACGGCGGGAGAGGCGGGGACGCACCTCCATGGTCCAACGGGTAATGGCGGCCCCGAGCCCGTCGGCATCCTCGCCAAAGAGAAACTCGAAACAACCCATGACGGCTATTTTAGGTGTTACTAGGTGAGTAGTAAATATGTCGTGAGTATGTATTACAATTAATCTTCCGACGCGATCTCAACAACTGGTCCGGCTACCGCAGGTCAAGAACGCCTGGCGAAGCAACGTTGAGTAGTAAGTTTGTATTATTACTACCCTCTGCGTGCAAGAACGCCGGGAGGGTTCCTCGATGGAGAGAACGATGCTGCGGCCATGAAAGCCAATCGAGCCACGTATGTTCATCGAGCCACGAAAGTCGACATGCGTCGCCTAAAGGCGAGCGAAGGATGAGGTTCTATCGACCTCTACTAGCACCGCCAGCGACGAAGGGAAATGGGAATCATAGCAGTTATGGTCCCACTACTCCCAGTCGGTCGTCTCGTTTCGTCTCCCAATAGCATAGACGGCCGATCCCCACCCATGCAGCTGAATGGCGGGAGAAAGGAAGCAAATTTCTGACTTTGAAATTACAGCAGCCATGCCAGAAGGGCGTTCATGTACGTTCCTGGCTCAAGACCCTACCCAACTGTTCACGATCGTACCCAACCGTAATCGTTTTGTACCCTCAGCACACGCCCAAAAGGAGGTTGTCTTGGAACTGCGGTTGCCCAGTGGCGCCTCGGGATCTCCCAACCAACAGTTCCCGCCAGCCGAACCAGGCACGAGCCATCTGTTGAGAGTTGCAGTTGTGACACAATCGAGTGAGACGGAGACTGCCAATCGGGACCCGCTGGAACTGAGCTGGAGAGGTCAAAAGTGCATAAGTAGAAATTCAGGGAAGGAAAAAAAAACACGTCCATGTATCGAGTGATTTTCAATCGAGTACGCAAAATTCGCAGCCTTGTCCAGCACTGTCTGTCTAGGCAAGCAGCTTACCTTGGCACCGCGATTAGAACCGCCACTGGCAGAACCATTCATGGCCTCCGCCACGTGTCGCTCCCCAGCTCTCTCCACCTTCGCCGCCGATAGGTCCACCCTCTCATCATCGCGCGCGTCGTTCCACGCAGCATTTCCCCTCCCTGCTCCGCAATCCGCATCGCCACTGCGCAGAGTCAGATCGCCGCTGGCCGTCCGATCCGACGGCAGAGGCGCATCTGACGGCGAGGATGAAAGCGGAGGAGGGAGCAAGTCCCGACTGGGAAGCATCATTCGACGGAAGCACGCTAGCGTGCAGGTGGGTGGGAGTGACTCCACTGGTGCAATGCCATTTGCAATGCCATTTGCAGTGCCATTGACTGAACTCCTCCTCAACAATGGGGACCTTCTCCCACAAGCTCATGCAGGTGGGAGGGAGTAACTCCGTTGACGGAATTCCTCCTCTAGAATATATGCGGCAATAGCACTGGAATAACGCTATTAGATACTAGTAGTGCTATCGAAATGCGCAGATTTGGCTGCACTGCATCAGGGTTCGCGTCGGGTTTCTTTCATTAGGTAGCGTCTGTGAGCGTTACGCATAACCCGGCCACTGCAAGGCTCTCTAATTAGCCCCTGATTGGCTCGGTGGGGTGCTGCATTCAGGCACCCACATAACCGTACGTTCCAAACGCTCTCCTTTCCCTCCCTCCCTCTTCTTGCCGCCGAGTTCACTTTTGAGTCGACTCAGAAGTCAACAGCCACCCACATAACCGTACGTTCTAAACGCTCTCCTTTCCCTCCCTCCCTCTTCTTGCCGCCAAGTTCACCTCGTATCTTCCCATCCCCGTTGGCACGCGAGGCTGCAGCAGCAGGGGCAGCACGGGGTGCCTTGGCGCCTGGAGACCGGCGTGCATCTGCAGCGCCAGCCACCGGCACAGCTGTACTTGATCTGTTCCTTCCCCTCGCCCCGCCCCTCTCCCGGACCACAGGCGACGCTGCAGCAATTAGGACAGGACGAGGTCAACCGGCGCTTGGAGACCGGCGTGCGCCTGCAGCCGCCCACATGGCCATACACTGTCGTCTCCTTCCCGCGCCCTAACTTTCCCCTCCCCCCCCACCCCCCCCCACACTCCCCTGGTCCGGTCACAGGCGAAGCTGCAGCAGCTGGGGCAGGACGAGGTGAATCGGCGCCTTGAGAACGCCGTCCGCCTGCAGCCGCCCGCGCAGCTGGCGGATCTGCTGCTGCGGCGCGGGGAGGGGCCCGAGGGGCGCACGGCGCTCATCGTTGAGGTGGCGCGTGCTGCTCCGTCTGAGCCGCCTGAGAGCCTGGCCAGACGGTGCCAACGATATGTGGAGCTAGGTGAGTGAACAAGGCTGCTGCTGCTGCTGCTGCTGCTCCTGAGGCGCGCCGAGGGGCGCACTGCACTCATCATTCAGGTGGCTCGTTCACTGCCGTCCGAGTTGCCTGAGAGCCTGGCGAGGCGCTGTCAACGATATGTGGAGCTAGGTGGGTGGGTGAGTGGGTGAGTGGGTGAGTGGGTCGGTGGGTGGGTGGGTGAGTGGGTGGGTGGGTGGGTGAGTGGGTGAGTGGGTGAGTGGGTGGGTGGGTGGGTGAGTGGGTGAGTGGGTGAGTGGGTGGGTGGGTGGGTGAGTGGGTGAGTGGGTGAGTGGGTGGGTGGGTGGGTGAGTGGGTGAGTGGGTGAGTGGGTGGGTGAGTGGGTGGGTGGGTGGGTGGGTGGGAGGGAGGGAGGAGCTGGGCGAGATGCGGATCTGCTGCTGAGACGCGGCGAGGGGCCTGAGGGGCGCATGGCGCTCGTTGTCGAGGTGGCTAGCTGGCTCCTTTCCCGCTGATTCGCCTGAGAGCCTGGCAAGGCGATGCCTGCCAGCGATATGTTGAGCTAGGTGGGTGGGTGGGTGGGCTGACGCTGTCATGGTGCGCGCTGTGATGTGATGCAGCGATCTCTCATGTGCGCTCACTCACCTCCCTCTCTCCCCCTCCCCCGCCCCCTCCCCCCCCCACCCCCACCCCCAACCCCCCCCTCGCTCTTCTGTCCCAGGGGCCGGCACTGCCATGGTGTGCTGCCACAAGGAGATCTCTCATGTGCGTGCACTCCCCTCCCTTGCCCTCCCTTGCCCTCCCTTGCCCTCCCTTGCCCTCCCTCACCACTCTTTCCCCCCACCCTCCCCGCCGCTCTGCTATCCCAGGGGTCGACACTGTCATGATGCGTGACAAAGAGATCCCTCATGTGTGACAAAGAGATCCCTCATGTGTGACAAAGAGATCCCTCATGTGTGACAAAGAGATCCCTCATGTGTGACAAAGAGATCCCTCATGTGTGACAAAGAGATCCCTCATGTGTGACAAAGGGATCCCTCATGTGTGACAAAGAGATCCCTCATGTGTGACAAAGAGATCCCTCATGTGTGACAAAGAGATCCCTCATGTGTGACAAAGAGATCCCTCATGTGTGACAAAGAGATCCCTCATGTGTGCCAAAGAGATCCCTCATGTGTGACAAAGAGATCCCTCATGTGTGACAAAGAGATCCCTCATGTGTGACAAAGAGATCCCTCATGTGTGACAAAGAGATCCCTCATGTGTGACAAAGAGATCCCTCATGTGTGCCAAAGAGATCCCTCATGTGTGACAAAGAGATCCCTCATGTGTGACAAAGAGATCCCTCATGTGTGACAAAGAGATCCCTCATGTGTGACAAAGAGATCCCTCATGTGTGACAAAGAGATCCCTCATGTGTGACAAAGAGATCCCTCATGTGTGACAAAGAGATCCCTCATGTGTGACAAAGAGATCCCTCATGTGTGCCAAAGAGATCCCTCATGTGTGCCAAAGAGATCCCTCATGTGTGCTCGTGTGTGCTCACTCCCCTCCCTTGCCCTCCCTTGCCCTCCCTTACCCTCCCTCCCCCCCCCCCTCACCCCCCCGCCTCCCTCCCTCGTGCTGCTATCCCAGGGGCCGACACTGTAATGGTGTGCTGTGACGAAGAGATTTCCCCGAATGGTCTTGCTGACGTCAGGGCTGTGTCCCAAGGTGTAGACCCTCTCACACCTTGTCTCCCACACTCACTCACCACTCTCCAAGTTTCACGCTATCACCCATCACTTTCTCACTCTCTCTCTCGAATGGTCCTTTGTTGCTGGGGAATCCTGGGTACATGCTAGGCAAGTGGAGCAGGCACAGGTAAATACTACCGGTGGGGAGGTTTAGTACCCGGTCCTACCACCCCCCCTCCCTCCCCTAATGCTCTAGCACGGCGAAGCAGTCCCCGAGGGACATGCCCGCATCGGGTCCCCCCAAGGGGGGCCACTCCAGCGGTGATGTCGTTCCAGGGGGGCCTCTCACTCTCTCTCTCGAATGGTCCTTTGTTGCTGGGGAATCCTGGGTACATGCTAGGCAAGTGGAGCAAGCACAGGTAAATACTACCGGTGGGGAGGTTTAGTACCCGGTCCTACCACCCCCCCTCCCTCCCCTAATGCTCTAGCACGGCGAAGCAGTCCCCGAGGGACATGCCCGCATCGGGTCCCCCCAAGGGGGGCCACTCCAGCGGTGACACTTCGTTCACCTTCCCCAGGTAGGTTAGTGCCTGTCCCCGTTGGAGGGTGACTGACCAGCGCTGGCGAAACTGGTTGAGTAGTTTCGCCGCCTGGTAAGAGCTGGGGTCGGCGTTGAAGAGGCGCCGGGCAGCCGTGTGGGCTAAAAGTTTGAGGAAGACCGGCACTTCCGTGCAAGGGCAGCCGTATGTCTCGACAGCAAGCGGGAAGAAGCCGACGTACTCTGCCCTGTGGCGGTACATGTCGATCTTCTTGTCCGCCTGCTCCCTGGCCATGTAACCGCGTCCCTTGCGGGCGAGGGGGTCCCTGGAGCTGACTGGGTCCGTGACTGTGACGTCGCAGATCCAGACCGCCCCTGAGTCCCGGTCCCGGATGGCTAGGTCGGCTGTCTTGCCGTCGACCGGGTTGTATAGGGCTGTTTCTTTCGAGACAATGAGTTGTGCGTCTTGGCCCATGCGAATGCATTCGTCCCGGAGGGCGTTGTGTGTATCAGTGCGTCCGTGCCCCGTCCCGCAGCGGAATAAGTGGTTGGGGAGCCGTGGGTCCGGGATCTCGGTCTTCTTGGCGCAATTGCACACTTTTAGCGCGGGGAAAGGGAGGCCCAGGCGGAAGGCGAGGGCTATGGCGAAGTGGTGAGGTGCCAGCCTGAGTGATGGGAAGAGGGGGACTGCGAGGAGCCAGTCCCCTGCTCCGTACCCTGTGAGGGAGAGGAGCCGCTGCGTGTGACCGCTGAGGGGGTTTAGCTCCATGTGCCTGGTCGATTCTAGCTGCTCGGCGAACCGGGCAGCGTGGACCTCTAGGGCGAGGCGGTGCTGGAGCGGAGCTTCGGATGGTTCCGAGGGCTCGGCGCGCAGGAGTTCCCGGGCGGTGGCCGGCAGCGCCGCCTCGCACTCAGCTAGCCAGGTGTGAAGGGGGGTGGGGCTGGTGTAGGGTGGTGCGAGGGAGCGGGCCACTGTCCCGAGGGGGGCGGATGGGTCTGGGGCGAGGGAGGCCAGGAGCCGTTGGGCGTGGGTGACGCTGGTGAGGAGGGCATGGGGTCCCTCCACTGTGGGGTCCGTCAAGCCGAGCCCTCCGAGGGAGGGGGGGAGCGAGGCCTGTTGCCAAGTGCGCGACATCTCCTGTTCCCCCCGTGGGAGCTGGAGATGGCAGGCCCTCAGGAGGGTGAGGTAGAGTTGCTGCCCCCACTGGGACCACTCCTGTGCTGGGAGCAGGTTCAGCGGCGTCGTGCGGGTCAGGTAGGAGACCCGACGAGAGACGCAGCGGTGGAGGAGGAGGCTGGCGGCCTGGGGGTCCATGGCTGCCAGGGTTGGCAGTGGCTTGGCCATTGCGGCCAGTTGCTCACGCAGGAAGCTGGCTGCTGCATCTGGGGGACCGATATGGCTGCCCAGGATCCGCAACCCGGAGGCGCAGAAGGGGATCCCGGGGGGGAGGGAGTCGGGGGGGGATGGGCCGCGGACCATGCTGCGCACTTAGCCGGGTTGTGGGTCAGGCCGAGAGGAAGGAGCGCGTGGGTGAGGTGGGCGAATGCGGCTGTGCATGCGGCCGGCTCCCCCATCAAGGTGATGTCGTCGGCGTATGCCAGGCAGAGGACGCGGGGAAACGCTTGGGCGGTCTCTCGCAGGGCGGGATGCATGGCGGCGGCAAAGAGCAGAGGTCCCATGGGGTCCCCTTGCCTGACGCCGCGGGCGCTGAGGAGGGGCTGGCTGTCAAAGCCCGCGTCCAAGAAAAGAGTGGAGGGGGCGCCGTAGGAGAGTTGTACGAAGGGGAGGAGGGGGCGGAGCGGGGAGTTATAGAGCCCTGTGATGATGGCCCCGCGGTCGACGCTGTTGAAAGCGTTAGAAAGGTCAAGTTGGAGCAGGAGGGCAGACGGGGATTCCGTGGCGAAAGCTCTCGCGCCATGGATTATCGCCTCGCCGCCGGCCCTTACCGCCACCCCGAACTGCAGTGGGAGGAAGTGGCTTTGGGCGGGCTCGTTCATGGCGGCGAGGCCCGCTTTCGCCACTAGGCGGTGGAGGCATTCGCCCACTGCTATTGGGCGGGTGCCCCCCTCTGGCTTCGGGAACGCTAGCAGGCGGCTAGCTGTGAGGAGCCCGGCTACCTCTGGAGTGGTGGATCCTTTTAGGAGGATTTGTGCTACCCCGTGCAGTTTGCTGGCGACTGAGGCGTTCGCGAGGGCTGCGTCGCGAAGGTGTTCGAAGCACATGCCCGACGGTCCCGCGCCAACTCCGTTTTCGCTGCGGCTAAGTAACCGAACGAAATTGGCCAGCGAGATGGAGGGGAGTCGCTCAGACTCGTCGAGGGCAGGCCAGTCAAGGGACTCAGTCAGAGGGGGGGGGTGTTTGGAGGTCAGTGCGGCGAGGACCTCCGGCGTTGACTCGCTGACCGGGGTCGAGTCCAGTGCCAGGAGGGCACGCCTGAGGCTGCCACGACGGACGAGGCCCTCGGCGCGGGATATTTTGCCAAGGGTGTCTCCTGAGTGTCGTGGTACAGGTGGGTTGTGTATCGCGTCAGCTGCTGCCAGGTACAGCGATTCCCATTCGCCGGCCAGGAACTGCTGCAGCCTCCGCTCTATAGCTGGCCAATCTGGGTGGCGCGGCGAATTGAGGCGAAGGGTGAGTCGGGGTGTGAAGAGTAACAGGCGCCAGCCCGCGAGGCTAGAAGGGTTTTTTGCGATGTGGAGCAGAGGTGTCAGGAGCGCCAGGGCGAAAAGCTGGCGTAGTTTGGGGGGGATTCGACGGGAAAGTGGGGGCTGGCGACTGTCGCAAAGCCGTCCGATGTCCCAATTTGCGATCCCCGTGAAAAGGGGTTCATTATTCGCCAGGTCTTCTGGCGAGAATTGGCGGGGAGGGAGGTTGGGTTGTACCTCGTTGTCCCGATAATTTCGCATACGCGGTGCCCGCTGTTCCCTTTGATTCCGCCCCGCCTGCCTTTGTCTTCGATCAGGTCCTTCGCCCCCGTCATCCTCAGCTGAGTCCTCCGTGCTAGTCTCTTCCCGTGCCTCCTGCCTATAAGTAGCATCCGCACGTTCCTCAGCAGCATTCGTGTTTTCAGCTGCCTCTTCTCTTAAAGCCCTCCCCACAGCCCTTTGGAAGCCATTCAGTGGTCCGCCGTTAGCCATCAGGCTAGGCGAGCGTCCGCGCCCCCTGCCGCCGCGTCCTCTCCGCGAGCCGCTGCCCCGTGCAGCTGAGCGTGGAGTAGGCGGGCGTTCGCCCCGCTGCCTCGCCGTGCCGGTTCTGGGGGTCATCGGCGAGTCGAATGGCCTTCCGTGCCGGCCGCGCTCGCAGGGAGCGCTCTGTTGACCGTGAGAGTTCGGGGGAAAACGTCCTCCCCCGAGGTCGGTCGAGCTCCCCCCCTCAGTCGGACCGGCGGTGGGCACGCGGGCTCCCAGCGCCGTCGACGAGCGCGCCAGCGTCCCCTGGTCGGATGCGAGCGGCGACGCCGCCTCGGCTGGAGGGGCGGGCTGTGGTGGCGGGCGCCGAGGTCCGCCAATGTCCACCTGCTGCGTTGTCGCCGCTTGCTGTGTCACGTGCGGCGGGCCCTCGCCCCCCCCCTGTGCTGCCGTCTCGGCCCCTTCCGCAACAGCAGCGTGCGCCAAACGGCCCCTCGGGGCGAGCTGGCACACGTCGGGGGCGAAGGGGGTGCGCTCTGGAGAGGCGGCTGGCGCGGACTGCCGCAACGCTGGAGGGGATACTCGAGCGGGCTGGCGCTGGGCTGCTCCCTTCGCCCCCGCAGCAGGAGCCCCCTCAGCAGCCCCCCTGTCATACGCAGCCTCCATTTCCTCCCCGAGATCGTCCACCGACCCTCCCCGACCAGCCGGCTCATGTTGGGTTGATTCCCTCTCAGCTGCGGCCCGTGCAACCCTGTCCCGCGATAGCGCGTGGAAGTGAGTGGTCGAGCCTGCAAATCCCGCCGCCACCTCCGACGGCTCTGCACCCATCCGCCCTGGCGCCTCCGCGACAGCATGTGCCGCCTGGGGGCCCGTATACTGTCCAGCACCCCGCCGCGCACCCGCAGCCCTCGCACGCGCCGGTCCACTTCCCCCCCGGGTACTACGACTTGCACCATCAGTCCCTGCCAGCGCCCCAGAGAGGCAGCCCCGCGTTATCCGCCGATACTCTCCCGGAGTGGCGACCCCCCTCGTCCTGGGCTGGGGCGGCGGAGTGGTCCAATCCCCAGGTGGGGCTCTACCGCGGAGGGGGTGTGGTCGGTCCGTTTGTTCCCCCTCGGCGGCGGGCGCCATCTCCACGGGGTGTAGAGGCGGGGGCAGAAGCAGCGGAGACGGGGGGCGCGGAGTCGCCAGGGGAGGGGTCTCCCCGTCGTGCCCGTGGGGCCGGGGTGGCGACGCGTTGGAGCCCGCTGACGGCGGGACCGCTGACGGCGGCTCCTGCGGGGATAACGGTCCCAGCCGCCACACTTCGTCGCCTTGGGCATGCTCGGAGGGGGACCGAGATACTGTTGACGATTCTGGCGTCGGCGAGC